ACATGAATCGACGGAAAAGCTCAGCTTTATTGTTGTGCAAGCACTTCTATGAAACATCCCCACGACCCAGTTTTTTTTTAGGCTTCCATATTACGCAGAGTTTGCATCTCCAAATTGTCTGTCATGCGATGTACAGCATTTATTTTAATGCCCACCAATTCTACCATCTCTACCATACCGATTGACAGAGTCGGCAATCAGTCAGTAATATTCTTTGGATTTTCTTAAGCATTTCTGGCTTTGGCTTTCGCATCATTTGAGCTCTGCCGCCCAATATTTCATTTCGAAATCGTGAGCATCGTAACCAAATTTTGTAAAATATTAGGCAGATCGAGTTTGTGTTTTTTTTTTCTGACACACTCTCCCGCAATTCGTGTTTTTTTTTTCAAAACTCCCTTAATTCTTGGAATTTCGAACTCAAATTTGGTAGTCCCAGTTAGTCCAGTTAGTGATTACGTGTGCGTATGCCAAGTTTCATCATGATAGGTCAATTCTGAAGAAAGTTATAGCCATAAATAAAATCGCTGCCCATACGCTGCCGGCAGCTCTGCCCGTAGCTGTTGTTGTTGTTGCTGCTTTGGTTCAACTTTGTGCTGCATATCAATCTATATATACACGCAATCAATATATACACGCATATAACTGTACATAAGCATGTCTTCTATGTATATATTAAATCAATTTTATTTAATTTAGTTAATTAATTCAATTTTTTTTAAAGAATTTTTTCAAATAATTTTTTTTTAACTGTTGGGCTTGCTCAACTGTAGCGCTCTCTTTTGTTTCATCTTGATGTTACAAAGATAACACTAGAGTTTTATAGGTGTTCATAATGTAACACTTGTTCACCAAGATATTTTAATTTTTTGGCGTGCCCGTCTACAGGGCATAAAAGTGTAGGATAGACGAGTCTCTGGTATTCGATTTTCTTTTCTTTCGTTCTGTTTGCATACAGTGGCGCCCAACGAACTATGCATATGCATGCACATACATACATGTTTGTTTGTATGTATGTTGGTGTCTATATGTGTCCTCTCGTCCCTCCTACACTTCTCACCCTCGTTTTTTGTGCCATGGCGAAATTGTCCGGTAATAAATTTTCAGCGTTTCCTGCCGACAAAGCGCCGCACTTTACAACACTTTTGGCATAAACAAACAAACACACTCACACACCTACACATACACACACCTGTGCGTGTGAAAGGGTTGAGGTTGAGACTGTTTTGTGTGCGGTATGCTGGCGTCCATGTAACGGAAGTTAAGTTCACACTAAGTTGAACTCGTGCGCTTGTAACTGCGCTTCCTTCATATGTTGCGATACCCATTCTCTCTCACACATAAACACACACACACACACACAAACACACACACATCCTCATCAACATCATCATGGCCGCTTGCACATGAAAATGTTTGAAATTTTTTTCTATATATACATACATACATATGTACATACATACTTATATGCGTCGTCCAAAAGCTTCTATAAGTAGAACAAAACTTTTAGCTATGACATCAACATTTTGACGTCGCTACCGTTATCGTCCTTGCAATGTTCATCTTGTTGTTGTTGTTGTTATTTTAGATCATACGAGTATGCTATATGGTATTTTTCACCTTTATTTATATGCAGTTTTATAAGTTTACGGTGTTAAGTATGTTTTTGAAAACAAACAAATTCAAGTCTGCGGCAACAATGGCATGAATGTGGAAGAAACCTTGAAAAATTATATTAATGTTTTCTATAGAAATTTCTATGGCATCTTTTTCTAAAGAAATGTTTATATAATACTCACGAGAGTAATTTTTTCTGCATTTTGGGGCATTTGTTTTTGAAATAAATGAGGCTGTTGATGCAAAAAATCGATTTAAATTATAAAATTAAAAACTTAATTTAACTAAACGTTTAAGAATGTTGTCTGACATACATAGTTGTATGTAGGTGCAGTGGTAATTTGATTAAAAAGCCACAAACTCTGCTTCTTTTCAAATAAAGAGTTATAAGTTTATGGTTCATTTGTTCGAGGCCATATATTTTCAAAAAAAAATATATACCATATTATCAGTTTGGTCCCGGACTAATCCATTTAAAGCGTAAACCGAATCGGTATAATTTTATAAGTTGTGCCCAAGCTCAGCAGAGACTTAATCAAGATTTGTATTAAAATAGAAGAGTTTTGTGTTATTTAACCAGACCGAATCAAAATGATATCAAATGATATAACAATCATTTCAAAAACTACCGTCCTATAAATGCTTTAAATCGAATATGTATTTATGTATTTATATGTATTTATCGAATTCTTACAAAATACAGTAGACTTTTTGGTACAAATATTACTAGAAAGGTTCTGTATGCGAAAGATTTAAAGGTAGGCAGACACCATATTCTGATAATATGAATTACATATATAATCAGCAAACTTAGACCACACTCTATAAAGCCATGTCCACATAAACAATGAGTTCTTTTAAGTCGCAATGTTTGCAGCCATAAAACTTCAAGCTGAACCTCCTAGAGATTTCCATACATAGTTGTATGTAGGTGCAGTGGTAATTTGATTAAAAAGCCACAAACTCTGCTTCTTTTCAAATAAAGAGTTATAAGTTTATGGTTCATTTGTTCGAGGCCATATATTTTCAAAAAAAAATATATACCATATTATCAGTTTGGTCCCGGACTAATCCATTTAAAGCGTAAACCGAATCGGTATAATTTTATAAGTTGTGCCCAAGCTCAGCAGAGACTTAATCAAGATTTGTATTAAAATAGAAGAGTTTTGTGTTATTTAACCAGACCGAATCAAAATGATATCAAATGATATAACAATCATTTCAAAAACTACCGTCCTATAAATGCTTTAAATCGAATATGTATTTATGTATTTATATGTATTTATCGAATTCTTACAAAATACAGTAGACTTTTTGGTACAAATATTACTAGAAAGGTTCTGAGGTTATGGAAAAGTCAAACTCTATATTAAATTATAATTTCCTAAATCAAAGCTTATTTTCATCTACTGTGCAGTGTCCCATATTATTATGCGTGCGTACCCCCCTTTGTGATGGAAAGCAAGAACACACAGCAAAACTAGTACAAGTGTTGGTAAGTAAGCTGGCAGTGTTGCTTGAGCTAATAAAACACTTGACAACACTGAGACTACAAGCACTAATTATGCAGAGATGTGTAGGCGCATCCTACACATACATACGTGTAGATCAAAGTATGTATGTGGGTCGTTCTTAGAGATAATTACACAATTTTCTGCAAAAAATGTCTGAATGAAACATATACTATTATGTATGCATGTATGTACAGGTAGTGTGTATGCATGTTACATATTCAGATGCAGATATATAGTAGTGCAACTTTTTAAATTGTTTTAAGTATTCCATTAAACAAAAAGCTTTTTTATATGCAACTGCAACAACAACACGAATAATTGACTCACCGCCATAGATAAATGCATCGTATGGTTGATCAGTTAAAAGGGTCTGTCGCCATAGTAAGCGAAGGGGGATTAACGCCTGCATGCATATACTACACAGTATATATTTATGTGTGCATGTACTCTGCAGGAATACCACCACTACATTCGCTCTCAATAAGCCAACAATTTTTATTATAATTTTATGCTCTAAGGCAAACTTTTCACTCCGCCTACCCATAGTTGCAACTTTATTACAGGGCTTAGTTGCATAGCTGAACAGTGCAAATTGTGGAGGCGAGCTTTTAAAATAATTGCAAGCTAGCAATGGGGTTTTTCCAATTTGCTGAAATGATTGACCAACGGAAAAAGCCACAAAAGCTGCATAGAAAAAATCAAGCATGAAAAGAAGGGATTCGAATTACGCACTTTCAATTATTTTATAAAAGAGCAAAAGCATAAGCAATAAACAAAAACATTTGTATATCTAACTATGTATTGCTTTGCGGTTAATTATGTAAAGATGAATGTGTTCATCGATTTCGCCAAAATAAGCCCCATTATGCCTCATCAGTTTTAAAGACCTCCAGTTATGCCTGGGAAAACTAAAAAGAAGTTGATTTTGTTTGTCTGTATATTGCCTGTTTCCTAATTGGCCTGCACTTGGTTAACCCTATCATAAATGAAATAAGTAAATTGTCAAGTTTATTTAACCAATTTAATGATTATCCTCGATGGGAAGTTTCAAATAAAAACACTCTGCTGATACAAAAAACTTGGTTAACTCTACTCGACTTGTTATATTTCACAGATCCGATTAATTTAGAAAATCAGCTAACAAATAACACTTACAAAATAAACAATCCATCAGATTGTACAGCAGGCCACAGAGTTGTATACATATTTTTAGTTACTGGTGCATTTGGTCTTAGTTACTTTTATAAACGAAAGCTATTAAAAAAATAGTGTATTAAATTGATGCTCTGTTAACTTTTCTTCTATGAACGTTTTGTAGCCAATAGCATGACCCAAAAATTCGTTACAATTCTGTCATGCAAAAGAGCCAACTACTTAAAATTAAATAAAAACTAGCATTGATAGGTTTCACACATATGCCAATAACCCAATGAAAAACAAACCGATATCCCAATGTGAACAATGTCGAACTAATCCAAACAAACTTTAAACGAAACTAGCAGAAAGCAGTCGTCGATTCAAAAAAATAACCGAATACTGTTTCAGTGTCATAGAACTGAGCTTCTGTCAGCATGATGGGTACGGCAGGCTGAATAAAACAATCTAATCGAACTAACAGAAAATAACTGTATCACTTAAACGTAGTTATAATTTTTATTCATATTTGTTATTGTTAAGTATTGTTTATAATTATTGAAATGTATTTATGCATGCAAATTGTTATTCATTGTTTGCAAATCAGCTGCCCATGACGTCACCAAAATGGTGGGCATGCGCATGGCGTACTGCGAAAAAGTATCGAGTACTTTGTGTGTCAAACAAGAACCCACAGCAGGGTTGCTTTTATGCTAAAAAGAGTAAAACGCCAGTAGGCCAAGCAAGAGAAAGAAATGTATTTAATTTAATAAACTTAATTAAAATTAGTCGGCCACGCTACATTTTCACTTTTCGTTTTCTCGCAGCGCCAACAGCACGGAACAATCGGTAAGAAGCAACGCGCGTAAGCAGACGACGAAGAAAAGCGAACGAGAGCGTTTTTCACCAGAGACGTCGAGGAGGCGGTGGTAGTTAAACAAAAAAAAAAACCTTAAAATGCAGCTAAAATTCGGCCGGAGCGAGACGCTGGCGTTCCTGCTCAGTTGCAGCTTGCTAGCCGGCGGCGGTTTTGTGCAGCTCACAACAGCTTCCGATGTGGATGATTTCGATGATGGGATCGTGGAAGATATTCAGGTGAGTGGCACAGTAGAGAGCAACAAATGGGTCGCCGGCGTGCAAAGTACACGTCAGTTTAAATGAACAGAAGGGCGGGCATGATGGGGCGTTGCAGTATGCGTGAGTGCGTGTGTGTTTGAACATTCCATTCTGAGCACCCGCAGTTTATAGTCCAATTAACAAGTTTGTCGACCGCGTTTTTTTACTGTGATTGCTTTGAGACAAACTATAACCTAACTTACGCAAGTCTCTAACTCTCTCGCTCTCACACAGCTGAGAAAAAAAAAGTATGTCAAAGCGGTACCGCGTGTTTTTTTTATATTTTTATCACACCATTGGATATCTATCAGTGCTTATCAGCTGGGTTTTTTATCTTCAACAGGATGACGGGGCAACAGTAGCTGCTGGAGATGCGGAGCTCGTCTATGAGAGTCCGCAAATTGATGCCAAGAAGTTCCATTTTGCCGACCACTTCGATAATGTTGAGGCCTCACGCAAATTGTGGACTCAATCGCAGGCCAAGAAGGACGATATTGCTGAGGAAATCGCAAAATATGATGGTGTCTGGAATTGGGAGTCTCCACAGCGCATTGTCTGGGCCAAGGATAAGGGCTTGGTGCTCAAATCGAAGGCCAAACATGCCGCCATTTCGGCACGCTTGCACAAGCAGTTCACATTCAAAGAAAACAAACCATTGGTGGTGCAATATGAGGTCACGTTGCAGGTGTGTAAATGATTGCAAAGGCTGAGTCGATTGCATCAGCCCATCAGTCTTGGCTAAGCTGTCTAGCTAATCCAATTAATAGCAAGTAACAGTTACTGACTGACCCAATTTCATATTCCTTTCTACGCGCTCTTTTTTTTTGCAGGAGGGTCAAGAGTGCGGCGGCTCATATATCAAACTTTTGTCAGCGGGCAGCCAAACAGAAGATTTGACCACAGTAAGCCCGAACCGCCTGTTTTACAATTCATCGCTCTGTCAATCTTTTGGCTTTCCTTTTTGTAGTTCAATGACAAGACACCCTATACTATTATGTTTGGACCGGACAAGTGCGGCAACGATATTAAAATGCATTTCATATTCCGTCATGTTAATCCAATTAACGGCACCATCAGCGAGAAGCATTGCAACAAACCAAAGTAAGTGTATTCATGAATGAGTGTGTGTGTCAGATAAGAGTGATGGTGAAGTGGTGCGGGTGGTAACTATTTTTACCCATTCCTATTGTCATTGTCGTGCGTTGTCGCCTCATTAGCGTAGCTTATCGATTGGTTTATGTAGCGGTCATTCACTGGTAAACTAACAAATAAATGCTTTCACTTTTGTCGCACCTCTGTTTAGGAACCGTTTGGAGGAACCCTTCAAGGACAAGCTACCCCATTTGTATCAGTTGGTTGTGCGGCCGGATAACACTTTTGAGATACGCCTAGATCATAAAATTATTAACGATGGCTCCTTGCTGACCGACTTCAAGCCTCCAGTTAACCCGCCACAGGAAATTGACGATCCAAATGATATCAAACCAGCTGATTGGGATGAGCGTGAGAAAATACCAGACCCCACTGCCCAAAAGCCCGACGATTGGGATGATGATGCACCACCACAGATACCCGATCCCACTGCTGTTATGCCAGATACATGGTTGGAGGATGAGCCCGAAATGATACCAAACCCGACGGCACAGAAACCAGACGATTGGGATGCCGAAATCGATGGCGAATGGGAGGCACCCCTTGTGGACAATCCAGCGTGCGAGAAGGCTGCTGGCTGTGGCAAATGGAAAGCACCACTCATCCCGAATCAGGAATACAAGGGTAAATGGCGTGCACCGATGATTGACAACCCCAACTACCAGGGCAAATGGGCGCCACGCAAAATACCCAATCCCGATTTCTATGAGGATCTTAAGCCCTTCGAAATGACGCCAATTGTGAGTTGCACAACATCTAAGAGATCTATATGACTCTTTAAAGGTTGCCTGCTATTTCAGAACGCCGTCGGTCTTGAGCTCTGGTCCATGTCCAGTGACATATTGTTTGACAATTTGATCATTACCGATGATGTGGATGTGGCCCGTGAATTTGCTGCCAATAGTTTCGATATTAAACGCAAATATATTGATAGAGAGTCGGTAAGTTGTTCTTAATACATTCACAAAACCTTACCACATAACTCTGACAACCGAAGAAAACTCTGTGGCATCGTCTGATGCGCCGCATGAATTACAAGCCCGGATGGTGGGCCTTATATTTTCTCTACCTGCTCATACCAGCGAGCTGTTACATCTTCTATTTGTACCGACGCGCCAAAGAGGTTGCCCCATTTCGATATTTATACATGTTCATATATATCGATATATGTAGTATGCTTTGACTGCACTTAGACACGCTTCAAAACTAGAAAGACATTGCTTCTATCACACCATTTTATTGCACCCGTATTGCTATTTGCTATATCTCATTTTTGTAGGACTCATTGGTAAATAAAGTGCTCGAGTTCTCCAAAACGTATCCCACGGCCTGGGCCATTGGTTTAGTAGCCACTGTGGCGCTAGTTGTTATCGTCATTTACTTTAAATTTGGCAAATCTAAGAAGCCAGTACAGGTAATATCGCTAGCAAATCAAATAATCAAAACGCCCCAACGTGTGACTAATATATGCGGATTCATAGGACACAACAAGCTCAGCAGATGCCGATCCCAAAAAAACAGATGCACCGCAACCGGATGATGAGCGCGTTGAAGATGAAATTGATGATGCCGAGAAGTCCGTTGATAATGCGGCTGGCGAGCCAATTGCCACACAGGAGGCCAGCAAGGAAAGCTCGCCGCTGTCCGCTAGTCCCAAAAAGAAGAAAAAGTCTGATTTAGATATTAAAGATGATGTGACAGCGTCAAAGAACGACGAAATCGGTGACGAGCCCACACAGACTGAGGTAAGTCAACCTTCTTATCATTTTGGGATAGAAATTAAAAATGTAATTAATCAAAATTCCATTTTCTCATTCGGTTTTAAAGGAAACTACCACAAAGTCCACACGCAAGCGCCAAGTGCGCAAGGATTAAACTGCTGGCAGGATATTCAACAGGTCGCCACAAAAAGCAACAAATAGAACAACAACAACTATCAACCCCAACTAATTCCAAAATACAAATCAAAGCAACAACAAAAGCAAAACAAACAGTCAGGCAATGCTAGAGAATATTCATACTATTATTATTATTGTTTATATCAATTACTTCGTGCTGCCTTCGTTTTCGATATTTCTTTTGCTGCTGATGCTGCTGCTACTGTTTGCCGCAAAACAAACAAAAACAAATTAACACACAAACAATGAACACGCTCAATAATATACCAAATGTGTTGTTGGTACCTTCACAATTCCATGGTTGAAAGCGAAAGCAGCTCTTAATTTAATGCTCTAATTTATTTGTTTATTTGGTTTGGTTTAGTCTCTCTCATATACGTATATATGTATTTGTATTAATATTGCGTTTCCTTTGTGTTCCCCCATTATTGTGAAGTTTCTAATTTTCGTTTGATTGTTAGTGCTCGCATTTCTGTATGCGTTTCAATTTCAATTGTAAATTATTTTCGTGTAGTCTCCACAAAGAATTGTAACTAATGTAAATGAGGGAAACAAACAACTAAGCAAAGCGTAAACGTTAAATTAGGAAACAACAAAAACGAAATATGAAAACACCAGTATAACGGAATGGCAAAATCTAGTTTAATATTTAAATATGTAATTAAAATAGTTATACTCAGAATTTAATGAAAATACTTTAAAGGAAATTTCTGTTTTCATTTGTAACAATGAAAAAAAAATAAAACTAAATGTCAAAACCAATCGCAAGACGACTACTCTGCACGCCACAACCTTCACAGGCTAACCAACTAAACTGTCTAACTGCCTGCGCGGATAAATTCTGACGTCCTGGCCGCCGACCAGCAGCAACAACATTTCAACCACCCGAATGTTATGTTCCCGCGGTTGAGAGTACAGTGTTTATTTCCATGTCAACCCCTTTCGTAAATCTGATTAAAGTCGAATGGAACGGAGTGGTCGTTTGCCGCTGCATCAGATTAAATTTTGTGCTCTGTGGTGCGTGTGGCATCGTCGCCGCACACCAGACATGTCGCTCCATTTCTGTGGTTTTTGGGCATTTGTAACAATACTTCCGGCTGATTTAGTTAGGGTTCGATAATTTGTGCAGTAAATTATATTTAGTGATAGCTTTAAACTTCTCTTAAATAATGGGCTGACATTTCTGAAACCCCATTTGTAACAAACTTATAAAAGGATATATATTTTTGTCAGTTGACATAGATTTAAGCAGGTCTTTCTGAGATATTTCTATTGATTAACTTGATTCGGAATTCTCATTTGGAAGAAAGATATAAAAGGTTTTGTACTTGAAAAAGTTATCATCGATATATAGTTATACTTGTTCAATCTAGGGCTGAGATGATCTGCAAACAAGCATGATTAGGGAAGTTTTTTTGTAAGAAACCTATAAAGGGATTTATGCTTTTAATAGTTATCATTGATATTTAGTAATACTTTTTCAATCTAGGGCTGAGATGATCCACAAACAGACTTGATTAGGGAACTTCTTTTGTAAGAAAGTTATAAAGGATTGTTTATTATTATTAGCTTTGGGTTTAAACTTATCTTAAATCGAGTGCTGAGATGACTTAGTTCGAGAACAGCATTTGTAAAGAAGAACCTACTTGTATAAAGGGACTTATATTTGTATCATTCCTCATTATTGTTTAATGATTCTGATTAATACTCGCTCTTCTGTCCACTATCAAGTAGTACTTCGATCTAAATAATTTCAATTTATTGCAATTCAACGACGAGTTAATAGATTATGCAGGTAGTTCGGTTTCTGAATTTATTTCAAGAACATAGAAACTGATTCGAAAGTATGACCAGTTCAATCAATCTGGTTTGCAAGGCTATCCCTAAAATATGATTTTCCAACGTACAAAGGTAAAAAAAAAGGTACAAAGGTGGAATCTACAGTGTGCCTAGATTCTTCTGGTTTCAGTAAGTCGGCCCTTAAGTCAAAAATGTTCTGAGTCTGGGGTACAATTTTTCACGTTCATTATTATTACGCATTATTTCGCCTTAAAATGGATCTGAGTTGGATTTCTTGAAGTTTTTTCATTGATCATATGCATTAGTTATTTTTTAAATGCATCGTGCATTATTTAATCAAAATTTTAATTGTTTGGCCCCCCCTTTGGTAAAAGCTGCCTACGCCCTTGGGTACATATGAATGATAAATACAATAGGGGGGTAATAATAATCCCTTTAGTCTTATATGAGTTTAAACAGAGTCGATGAGAGGAAACCAATCAGCAATTTCGCCGGCAGCCCCAACACTCTGGGAATGGGCCTGTCTTTAAATCAACAGCTACAGATTCCAAAACCTATTCCTAGCAAACTTTTCTTTTGCAAATCAGTGCCCTTTTTCATATTCAAGCAGCGCATAAATCTTGCCGGCTGTCCTTGTCCAGGCCCAACCAGTTCAATTCAATTACTCCCATTCATAAATATACCCAAATCATTCCAAGGACCCTTTCGTAAAGCCGAAGTTGCTAATGAAATTGTTATGACAACCCGGCGGCTGGCATCAATATTGTAAAATGCCATTCAAATTAGATTTATGGACACCAACAGATGTGTGCAGACGGCGCGCATTCAGTTTTAAGTTCTCCAGACCCATTTCAATAAAAAGATTATATGATTCGCGTGGCTCGTTGATGTCTGCCTCGATATCTGTCTATATATTCGACGCACTTAAAAGGATTACAATTTTTCTGCTGACTCTGTCTACACACATATCCTGCATATTAAAATAACACGAGACATTGTGGGGGGCGGGCTATATTCCATAGACAGACGACTGTCTGTCTATCTGTCTGACTTGCCTCACAAGTGCTAGTCCAAGGGCTGTTGGCGAAATTCCCCAATCCTGCTGCTCATATGTGCGTTGGCGGCATTTTGCAATTACGCTCAGTTATCTTCCCCATGCTTGGCCATTATAATTTTAATAAAAATGTTGTTTTACTCTTCTTCATCCTCTTCTGTTTGAACCCTTAAAGTGCAGAATAAACAGGCAGGGAACGGACTCTGACGCCGGTCCGAGAGGCTTTCAAATGACCGGACTTCCAAGTGAGCGCTTTAAGCCGAATGCGTTTAAAAATGTTGCTGGGGTCAGCGAGGTCACCACTTCGTGTCTGGGTCCCACTGGAGCTGGCCTTTGGGGGGTTAGCTTATTGAAGTTATATTTGAAACAATCGATGCGTAAGCAAAAATAACACGCCATATGCCGCAAGTTGGGGTTGCCGATTACCCCTCAAGGGTTGCAATTTTTGTGGTAACATCTCACACCCCCACCATGCGCCCATTCCACACTTTTGGCAAGTTCCGTGCAATTAAGTCGTGCATTAGATCAGATAGAATCGCAATGTATGATGTCCTGAAAGCACGAAACAGTTCAGGCTCGATTTCATCATAACGATGATATGGCTTAGATAACAACAGCAACAACAACAACAACAACATCAAAAAATCATATAAAAATAAATTGGTCTTGAATTTCGTGCCCGTCGTTGACGTAATGTGTTTTTTGGAAATTTATTGGATTTCAATATTGCCAGCGAAATTGCTTTCATTGATTTCGTGCCGCGATAATCGTCTTATCGTCCCAGCAATATCCACTTAGCCCTTGAATGCGTTTCAACAGCCTGCCGAGTTGGCAGAGGTTTTTTAATCGCATTCATCGCTTTCATTAAATCGTTTTGCACATTTTGACGCTTCTAATGAACATCCATTGAGGTCAACTCAATTAAAAACCAAAATGAAAGCCCCTTTATTGACCATTTGTCGTTGGTCATTTGAGAGCCAAATTTTGTAGGGGGATTAAAAATGGGCTTTCAAATAGATAGCAGTTAGGAGACTATTGTTCTTCATTTTGAAAAGAACGTTGCAGGAAAGTTGCGGAGTGTCAAAAAACTGCTAGGCGATTACCCATCCATGGTTACACACGTCAACCAGAGACTACTTTAATGGCCCCACTGTAATATTAAAGTGCCGATTTTTCTAGATTCCTTATGAAACCTCAACAAAAATATGATATTTAAATGGTTTCTAAATAAAATTAGTTATGTATTTCAAAATATATAAATATTTTTAATTGGTAATGTTTTTAGTGGTCAAATAACATTTGCTCTTCAGACAGCTTAAATTCCGATGTCATTCCTGTGATGGAAGCAATCAAATATCTGGGTCTCGTCCATGAAAGAAGGCTCACCTGGAAGCCCCCACATTGTTGCTAATCGCAAATAAATAAACGGTATATTTAGAAAAATGTGCTGGCTGTTGGGTAGACGGACAGACGGACGGACAGACGGACAGACGGACGGACATGTCTAGATCGATTTCTCTCGTCATGCTGATCAAGAATATATATACTTTATGGGTCGGAGATGCTTCCTTCTGTACTTTGTACATACTTTGCACAAACCTAATATACCCTTTTTACCCTACGGGTACAGGGTATAAAAATATAATATAACGAACCCGACAAGGTGGGGGAATTTTAAATTCTTAAATTATACTTTAAATTTCAATTTAAAATAAAGTTCACAAAAATATACGTTGCTTATATCCGATTTTAATACAAAATAGTAAAACAATTCATTCATCCTGCCTCCTTACTTTAAAAAACAACAAGAGAGAACGCTACAGTCGAGCAAGCCCGACAGTGTAATACCCTGTACCCAGGTAAACTTCCGTCACTGAGTTATATGCGCCCATAGCAGCAGCAAAAAGAGGAAGAAGAAGAGCGAACTTGTTGCTGCAGTTTGTGGGGGTTGTACTGGCGAGAATTTGTTTTGCTAATAACTTTTCTTAGAATTGACCGAATTGAATAAAATTTTACACAATAGTAGACAATTATATATTAATTATGTGTGCAAAGTTTGGTTTAGGAAGCATTTGAAATGTGGACGCTATTGACGAAATTCTGTAGCGGGGGAAGGGGGGGGGGAAATTTAAAAAAAAAAACATAAACTCGTCCTTACTCGGACCTAGGAGAATCTGGATGCCAACTTTGGTTATTCTAGCTTTTATAGTTTCTGAGATCCTTTCGTTCATCCAGACGGACGGACAGACGGACGGACAGACGGACGGACATGTCTAGATCGATTTCTCTCGTCATGCTGATCAAGAATATATATACTTTATGGGGTCGGAGATGCTTCCTTCTGTATGTTACATACTTTGCACAAACCTAATATACCCTTTTTACCCTACGGGTACAGGGTATAAAAACATTATTTCGCATAATTTGTAAAGATTCATAAACCAAATTCCTTAATTATACATTAAAGTATAAATATTTAAAACGTCATGGTTTTTTTTTAAACATTCATGATTGTCCCCTCTTAAGGACAGATCTTAAATCAAGTTCACAAAAAAGTAAAATGTGCGTTGCTTATGTATATCTGATTTTAATACAAAATAGTAAAACAATTCATTCCTCCTGCCTCCTTACTTAAAAAAAAAAAAACATTATTTCGCATTTGTAAAGATTCATAAACCTAATTCCTTAATTATACATTAAAGTATAAATATTTAAAACGCCATGGTTTTTTTTTTAAATATTCATGATTGTCCCCTCTTAAGGACAGATCTTAAATCAAGTTCACAAAAAAGTAAAATGTGCGTTGCTTATATCTGATTTTAATACAAAATAGTAGAACAATGCATTCACATTCAAAAAAATTTTCAATTAAAACGAAACGCTGCTTACACCTCACTTTCAATTTTTA